GAGTAGTTTCCACCTTTTGGCAAAATAGGAGTAATGCTGCCGTGAGCACTTCTCCCACACACGGCTTCGTGCGGACGTGTATCTTCCTCTCTGTTGGTTGTGTACCTAGGAGCGCGGGTGCCGGGCCCTACAGTACCTCTGCGTTCGAGCTTGTGTTTTCTAAAGCAGCTGCGTCATCTAACATCCCCACCAGCAGCGTCTGCAGGTTCCAGCTGCTCTAGCTCCTCCACCTCCTCGCAGCTCCCACGTGCCTCTTCAATGCAGCCACCTCAGGGGGCATGAAGTGGGGTCTCACGGTGGTTTGGATCTGCACTTCCCTGAGGGCTAATGATGTCGAGTCTCTTCGTGTGCTTCTTGGCCATTTATATATCTCTTTGGAGGAATGTCTGTTCGAATCCTTTGCCCAGTTTTTAATTGGGTTGTCTTTTTATTATTGAGTTATACGGCATCTTGTCCATTTCTTACCATGGAACTGGAATCAGCCATTCCTTAAAGGAGCCCTGGTTCCCTTTGCTGGGAAATGGTGTTTAGAGACCCCACTGAGGGCCGACATTCTCGTCGCTACTGCTTGGTCACACAGTTTCTCTAAGACGAAACACATCTGGAGTTTTTACTAGTACTTCCAACTCACATTCGGGACCACCGGGGTTTTCACTTAACCTCCTCAGACCTGTCTTTTTTTTTTGAAGATTTTATTTATTTATTTGACAGAGCAAGAGAGCACAAGCAGGGGGAAAAGTAGAGGAAGAGAGAGAGGCAGGCTCCCCACCGAGCAGGGAGCCCGATGCGGGGCTCGATCCCAGGACCCCAGGATCACGACCTGAGCTGAAGGCAGATGCTTAACCATCTGAGCCACCCAGGCACCCCTCATCAAACCTGTGTCTTAATTTTTTTCCTCCCACACTGAATTTGAGGTCCCCTCTGGCTGCCTTGTCTTTAGACCGCTGGGGGCATGCCCGTCAGGGCCCTGTGGCTGGACCGAACCGCCGAGAGCTGACTTCAGGAGTCACTCACCACCTTGCCTATGGAGCACTGCCTGTTCCTGACTGCGGGAGAAGGCGGACACTTCCTCTGCTCTCTTGCTGCCTCATGCCCCTCACACTTTGGATGTGGGTGGGAAGGTCCCTTTCTGTCACCATAAAAAAGCTGGACAGCCCTGTGATTTCATTCCGCTGCTTCAGTACAGGGAAGTCCCCACTGGTGGCCACATTCAGTGTACTTAGTGAAGGGGACTTGTCTTCGAGCAAGCTCATCGGTAGAGGGACCATGTCATGGCCTGAACCCAGAATTCTCGCGGGGCCAAAGAGTGACAGAGGATAGCGAGGAGACAGGATGAGGTGGGGGCTGGCGCGGCAGGCCCTCGGTTGTAGGATGGTCCGCATTTCAGTTACAGTGCGTGGGAACCTGGAGGACATCGGCCATGGTGTGGTGTCCTTGTGGTGGGGGCAGCATGGCAGTGAGTCTTACGACGTGAGTGCCCAAGGGCACATCTCATAAGGAGCCCTTTCTTGTGCCGCCCGTGTCTTCCCTGCCAGACGGGAGCTCTGTCTTAGAGCCAAGGAGAAGCCGGGAGCAGATGGGACAGTTCTTCTCCCACTTGAGCACCACAGCTCATACTTTGACTTGATGAAGGTCATTTAAGATGGAAACATCCCTGTGATCATTTTCAGTGTGAATAAAATGAGCACCGAAATAAGTGTGATGCACTTAGATACCTTTCCAAATACCTTTTGGCTTTTGAAACTGCTTTTCAGTGACCTGGCAGCTGGGTCTGGCTTACAGTCACCGACGTGGACACAGTCAGGTGCCACCTTGCCCAGTCCTTTCAAAGCCTGTGCCTCACAAGGACTGCAGAGTCTGACGTGCCCGTTAGCAGGAGGATCCGGGCTCCTGCCAAGTTACAGACGGTCAGCTTTGAAAGAGATTAGGGTCGCTGGCACAAGAGCCAGGTATGTGCACCTTCTTAGGGTTCTCTTCCGTCTCACTGTTCGGCCTGGAAGGCCGGTGGGGGTAGAAAGCCGCCTGCCCCTTTTACACCCTCTGCAGGCCAAGGCCAGCGCTCCAGTGCAAGGGGGTTACTGCAGTCGTGTCGTCGTCTTGGAATTCGGGCACACGCCTGCACATATGTGCCTGTCATTCCGTGACTCTTGGGCCATTGCTCACTAGTTGAGTTCACACAGCTGCCTCTCCAGAAAGATGACATTCTAATTATAATTGCTCGTGAATCAGTGAAGAATTAGTGGAATTTTTTTCCTACGTCAGCAGATGCAAATATGCACACTTCTCTCTGTTCTTTGGTCCCGCTTGTAGAGAAGAGGGAGCATGGATGCGCGCCTTCCAGGACACTCTGGTCTGGCCCTCTGACCCTCTGATTCTGTGATGCTCTTCCGTGCAGCCGGCTGACGAGCTGCCTCCCCCACCCTCCCACTATCTGCTGTCTTTCCTCAGCACTTTGTCTCCCGTCTTTCTGTCTTAGCCTGTCCGTAATCACCAGCTAGGTAGCTAGTCTTTAACTCTCCATGAGATCCCATTTAACTTCTAAATTGTGGTAACAGGAACATATGAACATTCTCCTTTCTTCTTCTAGCACTTGACTCTTAGAGATCTTACTTCTCTCTGTTTCTCCAAGAAAGGCATTGGCTGTCACAGGGTGGGGGGGTGGCACTGATTCCGACTGTACTGTGTATGCCTTTGGTTGTATTTTCTTTTTAATTAGCATTTCAGAAGTAATACGTGTTCACTGTAGAACATTCACAAGAGGGGCGCCTGGGTGGCTCAGTCGTTAAGTGTCTGCCTTCGGCTCAGGTCATGATCCCGGTGTCCTGGGATCGAGCCCCGCATCAGGCTCCCTGCTCCACGGGAAGCCTGCTTCTCCCTCTCCCACTCCCCCTGCTTGTGTTCCCTTTCTGTCAAATAAATAAATAAAATCTTTAAAAAAAAAAATTCACAAGAAAATAAGGGGTGTTTTATAGCCGTAGTTTTTTTCTAGGCATGTATTCTTGGTTCCCTTTCATTTCCAGAACATACTACACGCACACACACACACACACAGAGAGACACACACACACACACGCCAGTGTACCACCTGGGGCTATGTTTCTCACTCACATTGTATTATGTTGTCTTTCCATGCTATCATATGTTCTCATGAGTTTGTTTTTTATTGGCAATGTAATGGTCTGTTGTTTGGTTCTATCACAATTTACATAATCAGTTCCTGGTATTAACTGTTCAATTATGGAGTCCTGAGTAGTCTAATTTTATCTATTACATATAATGCCGTGATGACCATCCTTTGTAGCTTATTTTTTGCATACGTCTGTGACCTTTTCCCTGGACTAAATTATTATAAAAAGACAGATATTTAACTTGGACACATACTGACAAATCATCCAAAAAGGCTGTTCAAAGCATTACTCCCACCCACTGTGTCTGGAAGGTTCTGTCTTATCACCATCAAAGCTGGAGAGCCTCTGATTACTGAGCACTGGTGTGTACATTTGTGAGTTTCCTCTTAGTTTTAGTTTTGGTGTGTTCATCCTTTTTCTAGTTTTCGTGTTTCTGAAAGAATCCTTGCTCTAGGGAGGATGTTAACTCTGTTGTTACTCTCTACGTTGTGATTCCTGCGTGTGGCATTTTGAGTTTGGAGAGGCTTTGTTTGCAGTCTGATTTAGGGACATGTTGCTGTTGCTCATTTATGCCCATTGCTGCCTCCTCTGCAACTTTAGAAATAGTCTTGCTGGCAGCTGAAACCACCCCTCTCCCCTACACAAGTAGGTCCTATCCAGATGCCCATCAACGGATAAGAGAATGGATAAGGAAAGGGAGGTTTGTCCATGTGTTGGAATACAGCTCAGCAATGAAAAGGAGCAAACTGCTCGTGGTCTGTCACCTCGTGGTGACACCAGGATCATGCACACAAAAACATGAATTGTCATACTGAGCAAAAGAGGGTGAACAGAATGGTGACAGCGAGTGGGGCTGTGGAGGCTGGGGGAAGTGAGAGGGACTGGTAACGGGGATGGTTTCTTTTGTAGGGGAGGCAGAGCTGTAAAAGCAGCTGCGCTGGTGTGGCTCAACTCCTGAGCAGACAAAAGCCATCGGGCTGTCCACAGTCAGTGGCTGGATTTTGTGGCATGGGAAGTAGATGTCCATAACGCTATTCAGAGAAAGATGGGTGCAGAAGAGTGCATACTGCAGTGGTCCCATTTATATCGAGTTCTAGGCAAAAGTCATCTAAGAAATACAAGTGAAACAATACTGGGGTGGGCAGGTGGACCAGAGAGCGATGGAAATGTTCAGTATTTTTTGAGTGGTGCGTACACGGGGATTTGTGATCATCAGAACCCATCCAACTGGGGGAAAATGCATTCTAATTGGGGAAAAAAAGTAGGTCCTGATCTTTTTTCTTTTTTTTCTATATAAAAAAATGTATTTTCGTAAGTCATGTCTCTGCTGAGTGATATGCCGTTAACTTTCTGTCTGTTGACAAAGATGCCAACCAGTCATCCCCGTATGCCAGCTGCCGCCACACCCAGCACCAGCTCACTGGAAAACCACCTTCCCCACGCCAGAGGTTTGCTCGTTAGCATAGGCAGCGTTCCTGCACATTATAGAACGCAGTGGCTTTTAAGAACTAAAGAGGAGTTCTCCCCTCCACCCCAAACTGGGAATCGGTTCCACTGGAACTTAATTTGTATATTGAACTTAGTCATTTTGAGACTGTGGGGTTCGTCATTTCCCCTTCCAAGAGGAAGTGCCATTTTGCATTTGAAACTGCTCAACATGCTATGAAGCCATCTTTGGAGGGTAGGGGACATTTTGAGAAGTCATGCAGCTCATCTAAGTCAAATAATACTTGCATTTCTGGTGTGCGGAAAATGTGTAGGCACAAAAAGAGATGAGGTGGTGGGGAGAAACAAGTGACCTACCTTGTGGTGAAAACCAAGCAGCAAGGAGCTTTCTTAGCACCTCTGACTTCTCTCTTGTGTGGGGTCTAGGAGCTGGTCAGACTAACCATCGAGAAGCAGGGGCATCCGTCTCCAACCAGCCCAGTGAAACCCAATTCCCCAGCCTGCAAACCCGATGGGTGAGTTCTGACTAAACCCTCCAGTCACTGGAGAGAGAATGGGAGCCAAGCAGGGAGGCTGTTTAAGGCCTGCATTCCTTTCTCAGTGACTTCTGGGCGAGTACCTGTATTACTTTAAAGTGTGTATAGCTCACCCACGTTTTGAAGTGTTGCCTGATCTCAAGGTTAACAGTCAGTGTGACTCTCAGGATACCATGTGAGCGTTCACGTGACCCACACCTGCACTTCTCCAGAGCAACTGCCTTTCATCATTGGAAAGAACTTTGAAGGGTTGGGTTTGGGGGATTTGGCTTGAGAGCTTTGAGCTTTATCAAGAAAGTAAACTGAGGGCAATGTGGACAGTTCTAAGGCCTTGCAACAAGTTCTACTGCAAGCCCCTAGACAAAATATGAAACATAAATTTGGAGCATTTAGAGAGCCTTTAGATCATGTAGTCTGAAGTTTCCTCTTACAGACAAGGAAACTGAGATGCGGTCGGGGGACTTGGCCAGGCTCCCGCTGTGTGTTGGTGATCAGTCCAGACTTGAAACCCCATCCCTGCCCGTGGAGCTCCAGGCATAGTGTCCAGGGCTCCTGCTTCTTAGCCTGGTGCCCCCCATCATTCCCATGCCCTGGTGCCCTTCTGCCCCTCCCAGGACCTGTGTGTGCTCTGTAACCTGTAATCCCAAGTTTTTCTCTCTCCAGCCAGTCTGAGCTCCCCCTGACAGATCGAGAGATGGAGATTCTAAACAAGACAACTGGCCTTTCCCAGTCAGCCGAGCTTCTCCCAGACTCTACAGATGAGGAGGTCGCACCCCCCAAGCCCCCCTTACCTGGCATTCGGGTGGTTGATAACAGGTAATTTTTATTTTTCTGGCACCCTCTTCTACTTAAGATATAATCTGATGAAAGGATGGTAGATGAACCAAAGTGAAGATGGTGCCATTAGGGTAAGAACTTCAAACCCAGCCCCCTCGCTCTTTGGAAGGCTTGCAGTCTTGATCTTCCTTGGGCAGGGCATCTCTGGAGGATGTGAGCCTGGCCCCAGTAACTTCCCTTGCCACACGCTCCGAGAACTCCCAGTGGAGAGCCTTTTAGGCTCAGTACAATTTATGATATGGAAGGAAAAAAAAGGATTTTTCTGATTTTTGGTTTTTTGGCATTGGTAGGTTTTATTTTGGCAGCGGTGGAGTGGGACAGGAGTTGAAAGTGTGAAAAGTAGGTGTGAAGTGTCTGATAATGAAAGAATCCCACATTCTATACCCTAATACCTTTTTAAAAAGCTTTTGTTTGGGTCATTCGGTTTGATAGGATTTCTTGATCTATTTCAGTCCTCCACCAGCATTGCCACCGAAGAAAAGACAGTCAGCTCCATCCCCGACCCGAGTGGCTGTCGTTGCCCCCATGAGTCGAGCCACCAGTGGCTCCAGTTTGCCCGTTGGAATTAATAGGCAGGTAATGTAGCCCCATCCGGCAAGGCAGAGGAAGGCTTTGGGTTTGGGAACTTTAATCGTGAAGCTAAAAGAAACCCAGTGGTCTTCAGCCGCTGGCAATGAGAGGATCATTCCTTCTCTGGACAGGACTAGAGGACCTGGCAGAAGTTCCCACATGGGGGAGGCGGCAGGGGTTGAGAGGCTGGAGCTGAGGAGTGTCTCCTGAGGACATCTGAGCCTGGCCCCAGGGCCCTCGCTTTTCACAGTCCCAGCACTCGGAAAGGCTTCTTTCTCGGAAGTCACAGACTTGGCTTTTTATTGCTTACATCAAAGATGGGCCTTTCCAACCAGTTTCTGAGCTTCGCAGTCTCCTCTAAGTCAACGCACTGATCCCTCTCCCCTGGGCTCTGCCACTGTTTCTCAGAAGTGACTTGGGCTTGTTTTTATTTTTCCACCCGAGGATTTTGACGTGGACTGTTACACACAAAGGCGACTCTCAGGAGGCAGCCACTCGTATGGCGGAGAGTCGCCCCGCCTGTCCCCCTGCAGCAGCATAGGCAAGCTCAGCAAGTCAGACGAGCAGCTGTCCTCTCTGGACAGGGACAGCGGCCAGTGCTCCCGGAACACAAGCTGTGAAACACTAGGTGAGCGCCGGGCATCTTGGTCACACCTCCTGTCTCATCCTTTCTTGGTGGCTGCTTTGGGGTCACACAGGGAGGCCAGTCACCGGTCATTCGGCCCTGGCCAAGTCATTCAGAGTCTGTTTCGTCATCTGTAGAGTGAGGGGACCAATATCCACCTCTCTCAAGGAGGTCGCAAGTTTGAGTGAAATAACCATGTGCATCCACATAGGAGATGCTCAGATGGCAGCTGTTGTTACGGTTAATCTGTCAGTTTGCAGTTTGACTCCCTTGGCCAACAGGAAGAGCCATCTGTGCTCAGAGCTGTAGGTGAAGGAGAGAGCCCCTGACAGAGGGTGAAGGCAAGCGAGCAGTGCGTGCTGACCTCCTGGTTGGCGCGGGATGCGTGCCGTGGGGGCCGGAGGGAAGTCTGAAAGGTAGCTTGGCAGGAAGTCTCAAGAGCATTAAGCTGTTCCTGTCCCGTGAGCTAGACATTCCATTCGAGACTTTATCTTAATCAGAAATTTATAGCAGGATTTCTATACAAGGACGTTAATCTCAGCATCACTGGGAGTCGTGGTAAACTGGAGACTCAGTGGTAGGAAATCTGAGGAGTTGTACATCCGCTTGGTGGAATAACGTCAGTCACGATACATTGATCAATGGACGAAATCCAAGACCCCTGACATAGTATTTTTCTCAGTTGGGTTTTTAAAAAAAAAAGAATCCTAAGGGGAAAAAAGACTTTTATGGAAATACATTAAAATGTAAACCAATTATAGTTAAATTATGGGATTGTGGATGATTTTTATTTTCTTGATTTTTTTTTTTGGCCACATTTTCTACAGTGGTCACACATTTTTCTTTTTTAAAAAATAAGAAATTCAAAAAATACAGGAAGATACAAAGAACAGGGTAGCAAACAGCCCTTTTCCCACTTACTTTTGCGTTTTCGAGCAGGGAGAAGAATGAGGCATATAAAATACAGCATAGAGATGAGACAGGAATCACGTTTGTGTCACACTCGAATGAATGGGATTGGGTAGGATTGCTGCTTCCTGCGGGGCCTTGTGGCTAACGGGTCATGTTTTTTTCCTGTCGTGAGTGCAGATCACTATGATCCTGACTATGAATTCCTTCAGCAAGACCTCTCTAACACAGACCAGATACCTCAGCCAGTGGCCTGTCACCTCAGCCCGTTGCCGGAGTCCTTGGGAGAGTCTGGGTCTCCGTTTCTCGGCTGCCCTTTCCAGTTGCCTCCAGCACCCAGCAGCTGTCCCCAGCCAGATGGGCCGTTGGCCCCAGGACAGCAGGTGGACACGCCCCCTGCTCTCCCCGAGAAGAAGCGCAGGAGCGCGGCCTCCCAGACCACGGACAGCTCGGGCTGCAGGGTGTCCTACGAGCGGCACCCCTCGCAGTATGACAACATCTCCGAGGATGACCTGCAGAACCCAGCCTCGGGCCCGTCCGTCCCCTTCACGCCCTTTGCTGCTATTCTCCCCTTTCAGCAAGGAGGGTCCTCAGCCTCTGTCGAATTTGTGGGTGATTTCGCTGTTCCTGAATCAACGGGTGACCCGGAAAAACCACCTCCTCTACCAGAGAAGAAAAACAAACACAGTAAGCTTTTGTCGAGCTGTTGTCAGGAAGCACGTTCTGTAACCTAACATGGGGGTGTGTTTTATCTGGGCATCTAAGCATTGGGCCAGAGTCACGCCAGTGGCCTCGTAATTTCATAAAAGACGGGGCCCGTGGTACGTGGACACTTCGGGGAGCCTTGTTTTGTCGGTACTGGTAATGGTTTGTAGAGCTTGATAAGCCGACCTGTCCTTGTGGCCTCTCTCAGCTCTCAGGCCAGGCCCCGCAGAGCCCGAGTGTTTGGCCTGAACACCCAGTGACAAAGAGAAGTGAGTGTCACAGCTTCAGGACAGCATTCCAGCAATATCCGGGTAAAGCGGGATGGACTTTTGAATTCAGTTAGAACTCACCGCATCCACAGAGGGGTTTTCTGAGGATCCCTGAGAGCGTGCAGGTTGCTGTTTAGAGAGGTCCCTGGTACCCCTCGTCTTCTGTTTGCGGACATGAACTGTCACGGAATGACTTAGAACGTGAGCTTGCCTGGTTGGAGCTGCCGAGGACATTTCTTAGACCACATATTTTTAATACAGGATGTTATTAGGGTCCAGGGGTGGCGCTGAAATTTTAGGTATTTGTAGTTGGAGTATTTCTGGACTGTCACTTTGCCATCAGATTCCTAAGTAGAGTCCTGCTAGAGATGGTTTTTCTGCTGGATCCCTTCACGGCTCCCTGTCGCAGGCTTTCTCCGCTGCGCCCCCTCCCCTGATCCACTCGCGCACTTCTGCTCCATCTGTCTTTGGTGGACTGGCCATCACCATTTGCGTATGTGTGTGGTCACCTGGGCCACACAGCCCCAGGGCTCCCTGGCCTCAGTTGCAGCATCCAGCAGAGAACTTCCACCAACTAGGAATTGACTCTCCATTCCAAATTCCCAAATGAGAGCATCTGATTGGCCCCAGCTAGCACGGGGCCCACCCTCCAAGAAGGGGAGAGTGGTTAAATGCAGCAAGGGTGGCCCCGAGGGCAAGTGGGTGGGCCTTGTCCCCCAGCTCCTTGCTGGGTGTCGCCCAGGCTGCATCCTAGCCTAGGGTGGTCTCTTCCCCCAGCTGGAGGGAGAACCGGCTCTGAAGGGCTGATGAGGTCATCCCCATCTGTCGTTCACTCGTGAGAAGCAGGGTGCTACTAGAGGGGATTGCCAACAGCAGCGCCGGGGACATTTCCCTCTGTGCCTCTCCCTCTGCACCAGCAAGTGTCTAGAGAGCTGTTGGCCTTTCCTCTCCACCCACCTTACTTGACTGTGCCGCTCTGGGCTCACACCCTTTCCTCTTTTCCTTTCCTTGGAAGTCTCCGAACCCAGAGCACAGGGTAGGAACCACAACAGATGTGTGGTGTTGCCTGGCCATGGAGCCAGGGGCCTCGCCTCCGCTTTTTAGAGCAGGGCGGGCCATGGCCCTTACGTGGGGCTGCAGAGAGGAGGAAGGGAGGCATCCGCTGTTCCCTTTCCAACAGCCTCACGTCTCCAGTGGCTAAAAATATTTTCTATTAGACTCTATTTTTAGGCTTTATCTTTCCATCAGTGTCTGTAGTACTTGTGTCTGCAAACCTTGAAAAATGACGAAGAGCTTAAGGTGTGGCATGCCCTGGGCCAAAGCTTCACACGCCATCGTATCTAGTCTTTACACTCTGGCCCCGGGCAGCGATGATAGCACGGTTTATAGAAGAAGAAACCGGAGTGCGAAGGACCTGAGCCTTGCCAGGGTCAGCTGGCAAGTGGGTAGCAGATCTGGGCTTTGGAGCGGGCCTGTGTTTTCCCAGCACGCTAAGGAGGCAGGGATCTGGCCCTCCTTTGTGGAGACTGTATGGGTTTCAGTAGTGACCGCCAGGCAGCAGGGAGTCTTTTTTTTTATGCCCCGTGAAAGGACCCCTGAACTTGAGGCCTGGTCCTAGTCTCCAGTCCACTCTTCCCTTGGGGAGTTCCAGTCTTTGACCTGGTGGAAAACTTGCAAAGTTGCTTTGCGAGAAAGGAGGGAGATAATCATCATCCCTTGTATTTGGCTAATACTGGACAGAGCTCATACGTACACAGTCCTGCTATCATAGAGTGTCCTTCTCCTTTGGGTTGCGCTAATGTCTTGAGTCTTGAGGGTCGTCGGCCCGTCTTGCTGAGGGCAGCCCTCCAAGCCCCTTGTGCCCAACGAGCTTCCTAATCACTGCCCGCAGTCCTGGGTGCCCGCTGGAGCACCGCCTGCCGAGATTCCCGGTGATGCTGGCTGCTCCCTTCTCTGAGCTCCTGTGCTGGGCTGCCTTTGAAACGGACCCAGTCTTCCTTATTTCTCGAAGGTCCTGAACCTCACTACTGTCTCTGTGTTTGGTGAGCAGGTCTCTGCAAGGACTTCAACATCTGGAAGGCCAGTTCTTACTGAAGCTTCCTGTTTTAGGCAAAGATGCTTGTGTTCAGTCTTTTAGGGAGCACTTGGTAGGCATTTGGGATCCCCTTCAAAGGCTTGCCTCTTCCTCTAGAACCTCGTGGTGTTGGTGGTGCGGCGTGGAAGAATGGCGTCGTGGGGCTTGAGGGGGTGGTGGGCTGCACTTGCTTTCCGGCAGCAGAGCCCTCGTGGGCAAGACTGCCTTTACCTACCCGCCTGTTATGGCCAAGCTCTGCTCAGTGCTTGCTGGAGCGAAGACATTCTTATTGATTCTTTTAAATAGAGGAGATGGCTTTGAACCCCCTCCTTCAGTGAAGGGCATCAGAAAGACAGCCCTAGAGAAAGGCATTGCTTATCTACCTTGACCCCAGTTGAGGGGGTCTCCAGTTAAGCCCCCAACTTTGAGGCTGTGTGAAAATACAGAATGAAGCCCTGCAAAATTGTCCTGGCCACTTTTGCTTGGTATCTAGCAGGTGCTTCAGGAGGACAGCACCCAACTCCAGATGGTACCTTCGACCTCTGCCATACATGCACCTAAGTTCCTTTGCTTCCAAACCTGGGACCCTTTTTCTTGCTAGCTCCCTCCTAGTGCGTGTGCAGCAGCCCTGTGAGTAAACTCATCAGCCCTCGTTCCTAAGGGTCCAGGGGCGGCATTCCTAACTCATGAATCAAGGGGGCATGACAGCGTTTCCCCTGCAAACGTGGACACGTTTGTGTTTATAGGGAATTCCCTAACTCTCGGGAGCTTCCTGCACCCCTGAGAGAATGGGAAGGGTGGTACTGCATTTCAGGCCAGCCTTGACCTAGACTTTGCTGTGGGGAGTGTCCAGTGTGGGTTCCAGTCCCACAGAGAGACGGAGATTGGAGAAGGGCCTACTCCCACCCAGCCTCCCAGCTTTGTAAGGCTGCCAGAAGGCCGGACAGTCAGCTCCAAGCTGTCACTTGCCCCGAACCCGTGGAGTCTTCAGAAGGGCCTGGCTCTGGAGTCAGGGCTCCAATCGCTAACCCCAGCTGGGAGTAAGGTGCAAGGGCTGAGGGCTCCGCGCCTGCCTCAGGACAGGGTGCCTGTGAGGATGGGCCCCTAAGGTGTTGCGCCTCCCCAGGTGGGCGAGGCCCCTGCTGGCTGCGAGGGCTCACGGCTCAGGCAGGGAGCCTGCCCCTGGGCGGCCTCAAAGCTACAGGTAGTGTCACCCAGAGGGAGCAGCATGGCGTCAGGTGGCGGGGTGGCAAGGGCCGGGCTTTCTGAAACAGGTTTAGGGAGGAGAGGGTGCACGTGTTTGAATTCAAGCATGTCTTTCCTCGCCGCCTGTCGCTCCCCTGAGGATGTAGCCTCTCGGCTGGAAGGGGAGAATGGAGTTTAGTGGCTGTTACTTCTTGTTTACCCGGTGGGTGCTTTATAAGACCCACCCAGGGCCGTCGCCTGGTTTAGCAAGTCCCTTGGTCGGGTTAGGTGACGTGTGTTTCACTCATTCGTTCTACAAATATCGGTGGAACCTGCTGTGTGTCAGGACTGATGGTGGGGCGGCAGACATGGTCCCTGTCCCCCGGGAGCTTCAATTCTCCAGTGACAGACAGTAGATCCTGTTGCATCGGCCTTGAAAATATATCCTGAATCAGATCAATCTCACCACCTCCACCCACACCACCATCTGTCACCTAAACAACCACAGCGGCCCCAGAGTTGTTTCCTCGAGACAAAGCAGCTTCAGGCAGGCCCGGAGGGGAACCCTTCGTGGGATCCCACCAGCCTGGCAGCGGGCCGGCCTCCTTGCCCTGTTCCCACAGCCTCTCATGACCTCACAAATGACTGCCTCACTCCTTCCAGCCTCCCCTTGCTGGCTGTGCTCTGCTCACCAGACCCCTGGCCCGACCTTAGCCTTTGCCCAGCCTGTAGCCTCGGTGTGGAAGGCGTCATGTAGCTTATCCATATTCTGGAGAAGCCCCCACCACCGGCCCACTTCACTGTCAGTCCCCAGCATTCACACCTGGTCTGTTTTCTGTCTCCTGGGAGGGTGTGAGCCTCACATGGCCAGAAGACTTGCTTGCTGGCCCCTGAGCTGGTGCCCAACACGTAGGTGCTCAGTAAAGTCACATACGTGGGACAGTCCCACAGGTGGCTCATGCTGTGGGCAGGGCTAAGAGGACTCCATGGAGGGACAAGGAGGGGCTGCTGGGCGGACAGCTCGTGCCGAGCCACAGGCAGGGGAGAGCCTGCTCAGCAGGACTGAGGGGAACAGCATGTGCCCATTTCCCTGCATGCTCCAGAGAGGGGAGGAAGACCACGTGCCTGGGGTCAGAGGAGTGGGAAGTGGCACCTAGTCTCCGCCATGGCCATGGGGTGCCAGGAAACCCCCAGGGCTTTTCAGCGGAGGGGGGTGGTTGCTCCCCATATGCATTTTTTAAAAAGAGACTATTTTTTAGAGTGGTTAAAGACTATTTTTTTAGAGTGGTTTTAGGTTCACGGCAACACTGAGCGGAAAGTACAGGGAGTTCCCGCAGGTCCCGGCCTCCCCCACTGTCACCTCTCCGCCAGAGTGCTGTGTGTTAGTCACCCAGCCTGCACGGGCATGTCCCTGCCGGCCAGAGCCACAGCCTGCGTAGGGCTCACCCTTGCTGTGTGTCCATAGGTTTTGGCCTGTGGGCGACATGGTGTCCATGGTGTGGCGTTGGCAGGGGCTTGTGTGGGCCTGGGCCTGGGCCTGGCCATGCCAGGGGAGCAGGGAGGGGCCCGCTCGGGGGTGGGGGGAGCAACCGTGGGCCGCGCAGCCGCCCCCCAGTAACGCCGGGCCGCCCCCCACCCCGTCTGCCCCGCAGTGCTAGCCTACATGCAGCTGCTGGAGGACTACTCAGAACCGCAGCCGTCCATGTTCTACCAGACGCCGCAGAACGAGCACATCTACCAGCAGAAGAACAAGATGCTCATGGAGGTATACGGCTTCAATGACTCGTTCAGCACCGAGGCCTCGCAGGAGCTGGCGCCGCCCCCCGCCCTGCCCCCCAAGCAGCGGCAGCTGGTAAGCCGCCCCCCGCCCCGCCGCCGCGACCCTCTGCTGCCGGGACCATGCGGCTTCCCACACGGGTGCTCCCACTTCCTCCCGACAAGCTCCCCCGTCTCCCCTCCCTGGGGGTGGCAGCGTCTTTCTCTTCCAGAGCAGCCCCACGCAGCTGGGCCTGGCTTGTACTCAGAATGTCTCCTCTCTCTGCTGACAGTCTCTTGTATTTTTCCTCTCTTCTTGGGCTCCAATATAGACCTTCCAGAAAGGAGGGACTCAATCAAGGCACAGGGCCTGGTCTGTGTACGGCCATCTGTGGACTTGATTTACATAATGGCCCAACTACACAGAGTGACTGACACCCCACCCTGGCCAGCGATGGCCCCGTGCAAACAAGCTCTATTGAAGCACGATGGCCTTACACAGAGCCGTCTGTGTTCCCGGCATGGCACCCTGTCTCCTCTGAAAAGCGAGTGAGGAGTCCCTGTAGGTACCGAAGCCCAAGTCAGCACAGAAGGCAGGCTGTCCTGCATGGGACCAGGCAGGTGGGCAGGTCGGCCGTGCCTGCTGCGCGCCGGAACCCTGTTCCTGCGGCTCCCCGCTTACCAACCAAGTGGACCGTGGTCGGGTGGTGGAGTCCAAGCATCTCGCCAGGAAGAGTGCACCTCAGAAAGGGATTCTTGACCTGTTCAGAGCTGCATATGCTGTGTTGCTCATAGGCTGACGAGTCTGGTAGTGTTTTCACCGCAGAGGGGCCTGACCATCTTCCTTCCTTCGTGAGAGGACGTGAAGGTGCTGGCCTGCCTTTTCTGGGAGGCAGCTGCCGACTGGACAGCCAAGACCCCGGGTTACTCCTCGAGCCCCCGCCCTGCCCCAGGGGCCCCTGTGCCTTCCTGCATTCAGGAAGCTCAGGGGCTGACCAGGCAGAGCCCAGGACTAGCTGTGTCTCACGACTTACACTCAGGGCCTCAGTTCTTCACCCACCCTGCCCACCCCAGGAACCCCTGAATATGCCCCAATATGAATCTAAATGGCTCTGAAAATGTTTCATAAAGGGATCTTTACCATGGAAATGGAAATGCCTGCCCCAGGGAGCCCTGACCTAAAATGTTTGGTTCAGCGGCTGAACTGGATTTCGTTGAGATCTGAAACAGTCTCAGCCCCTCCTGCCAGTGTCCACAGGTGCCCATCGGTCATCCTTGGGCATCTTCTCTGCACCGTGGAGCCCACAGGCTTCACAGAGGTCCCTAGGGAGCGCTCTCGGACTCGGAGCCTGTGTGGGAGAGCCCACCGAGCGCTCCGCATGCTGTCCGGGCAGTAGCGAGGGGCCCAGGAGTGAGGCAGACACCCTGCTGAGCACTGCGGCTTGGTTTGGCTTCACGTGATCCTCCCCACAGCCTCTGTCACCCCCATGTTAAGTCAACTGAGGCTGAGGAAGCCAGAGACTTCATTGGAGCCCATGCAGCGCTGGAAGTAGAAGATGGGGGACCAAGCCCAACTCTGGCTGAAGCCCGGCACGGCTCGTGACATGCCCTGCGCCTGCCGCGTGGCTGCCCTCTCAGACGCAGATGCAGGAAGGCTTGTACTCCATTTTACCAGCAAAAGTAGTAGTCGTAATTGTGCCTGTTGGCCCCCATACAGTGCGGCAGGCGCAGTTCTGAGTGTTTTATGCACAGACGGTCCTAGACAGGTGTCCCCATTTTACAGATCAAGAACCTGAGGCACAGGGACCTTTAAATAATGCTTGAGGCCAAACAGGTCCCAAATGGTGAGGCCCAGGTTCAAAGCCAGGCGGCCTGGCTCTAGGAGCGCACTCTGTGGAAGCATGGATAAGTGCAGGGTCTGCTCCCCAGGGGAGGAATGTGAGGCCCTATGTCAGCGCATGCCAGGCCTGCGGGGCCCCGAGCCCGCTTGGCCTCCTTCCACCTTGCCACCGCTTCTAGTGGACACAACGTGTATGAACGTTAACTTCTTAAATCGCTCACAAGGAGGTGAAGGAGGGCACCGTCTTGTCCGGGTGGACTCTGGCAGGCATCTGTGATTCCTCAGCTGAGCCAAGAAGCCATCCCTCTCCAGAATGTCCAAGCAGAATTAGGTAGCAGCCTATGGAGCCTTCATGTGCACCTGCCTGACTGTTCTCTGCTTTTCTCCCTCCTTCCCTGTCCTCTCTCTCGTCCCTTCTGTCCAGCAGGCCTCCTATGCTGCTTCTTCCTTCTCCTCTGTCTCCTACTGTGTCCAGCAAACTAAAGTGGCCTTCACCCCCGAGGACGGCAGTGCCGCTCAGGGCATCAGTGTGTCCGTCTCTAACTCCTTTCTCAGCCGGCACGGCAACTTGCCTGTGCCCTCGGTGAGTCGCTCCCTGCTGCTCTTTGCTTGGAAACGTGAGTGCGAGCTTTCATTTGTCGCCTGTGCCTCCCGACCTGCGTGTTGCTGCCCAGCCCTGACTCTGTCCTCTTGCAGACCCTGCCCTAGACAGGAAGGGGCATGCACGGTTGGTTCTCTGTGGCCCGAGGACTGTGTGAAGGGGCGGGGTGGGTGGGGTGGCGGCGGGGACCGGGAAATGTTAGTGGCCACGCTCTCGGCATCACCACTCAGAAGTAAACTGGCAGAAGTGTTTTGGCTTTTTATTCTGGTCTCCCGTTGGGCCGTGGGTCAGCCCTGTAAGTGTTCTGTATTTAAAAAGAAGTCTTCCTCCCATAGGAAGCAAGGCCAGGGAGAGCAGGCCTTAGCAGGACATGAGAGTTTGAGTCTGAGGGCCTTGTCGGCTAACTTCTGCTGTGTAGCAAACCACTTCAAAACTCAGTGGCTTAAAACGACAGTAACCCTTTGTCATTGCTTAGGACATGGGTTGGTAGGGTGACGGCCCATCTGATTGTGGCTGGCCCCACCAGCACCTCTGGAACCTCGGCTGGGACAGCGGGCCGCTGTGGCAGTGCTCCTCCTGACCCTTAGCCTCTGTGAGGCCAGCCCGGGCTTGCTCCCGCGGCAGCCGGCGGGGTGCCTGGGGAGCTGATGGGAGCAGACAAGGTATCTTCAGGCCTAGGCTCAGAACCGGCCCACTGTCTGTCACTTCCTGGCATTCTCTCCGTTGAGTCACGAGGCCAGCCTGGGATTCCAGGAGTAGGGAGCTGGACTCCGCCTCTTGCAGGGCTGCCACCAGATCACCTTGCCGAGGGACGTGGCCACAGGAAGGGCATGGGTACAGCCAATTTTGTAAATAGTTTACTTCTGAAACTTAGGGGACACTAACACTTTGGGAGGCATAGTACTGGTCTGTTACCTTTTGCTGAAATCTGCATCTGTCCAGGAACCTAAAGGGCTACCATTCTTCCTTTAATCTGTTAAGATGAGACTGAGCAGCAGGGGAAGAGCTTGGATGGGGCCATGTTTGGGTTCTGCTTAAAATCAGTTTTGCCTTTGGGTAGTTTATTTATCCCTCCTGGTCTCCGCTTCTTTCCTTCGAGATTACACTTGTCTCTTATTTTGTGGTTGTGAGGATTAAGTAAAATCAGGTAGGAAAGTTGATTATTACAGCTCTTGGTCTCAGAGTCCGGGGTTCTAGGCTCGGCTCCGTCCTCATTCTGCACGTGACAGCTTGGACAAATGGCTTCACCTACCTGGACTTCCTTTTCCCTCTACGACCTGGTGACTGGTTGACCAGGTGACTCACAGAGACCTAGCCAAGCTCAGGCTCCCTGTGTTGTTTTGTCTGGTTTCTGTCTTTGAGAATCATCCATGTGGGGCCCAGGTTAAGACAGTCCTGCCTGCGTGAGGAATGCACTGTTCCTTTCGCTGCTAGGGCCTAACTTCTTAGAGCGCTCAGCAACCCTGTGCTTGCTGTAGGAAGGCTGAACGCCCCTCCCTCCCCACTCCCGGCCCTGCCCTGGCACACAGACACCCTGTCTCCTCAGCAGGCACTTCTGGCAAGCTCCTTTCACAAATTGTGCAAAACTTGGCCTTTACATAATCCAGCTCTTGACTGTTTTTTCCCCTCTATGAACAGAAAGTAAGTGTGAGTTATCCTAAAAAAGTGTCTACAATGTCCCTTTTGAACAGTGTGGGGTTAGAGGGCTTGTCAGTGAGCAGAACTGTTTGCTACAGAGTTGATGAAAGTTTGAGGGCATTCCAATGAAGTTTGGGCATGAGTGTGTCATGGTTTTTATCCCTTGGGACGCAGGGGAGTCTCAAGGCACCTTGCATTGGAAAGACCACATTCTCTGTACCAATGCCACGGTGCAGCCCAAGGGAGTGAGCTACTAAAGGGGCTTTATTTCTTAAAAGGAAAGTCCCCCCAGCCTCCAGAGCTGTTAGTAGTGGCCTGAATGTTTGGAACATTTGACATCTGATGTGCTGAAACCCCGGAGAGATGGTTTAGTGCAATGCCACCATATTCTTCATGTGTTCTCTGCTTGCATTCTGAGATGAGCCCCAGATAAAGGGCTTTGGATTGCTCTTAGAGCAGCCCTTTATTCCTGAATCTCATCATTCTGTCGTTCCTGGGCCTGTGTCATCCTTCCAATATGGAATTCTGAAGGGGTACCCCTTAGGAATACAGCATCGGTCAAATGTGAAGACACCTCACTCTCTCAGTGACCTGTTACTTCTGACGGGGAAGATTCTAACCATTAAAAACCTCTTGGGGCACCTGGTGGCTCAGTCAGTTAAGTGTCCAACTCTTGATTTCAGCTTAGGTCATGATCTCAGGGTCGTGAGCTCAAGCCTCGCATCAGGCTCTGTGCTGAGCGTGGGGCCTGCTTAAGAATCTCTCTCTCCTCTGCCCCTCCCCCCACTCATGCACGCAGTCGCACGCGTTCTCTTTCTAAAAAAAAAAAAAACCTCTTGAGTTAGAGCAGGAAAGCTGCATTGACCAAGCTTAATTGAAGTAGAGGCTCAAAAAGCATCTTGTTCAGTCTTCTCGGTGTTCCAGGTTGAGTATGATACAGCAAGCACAGGGATTCTCCCTGTGCCCGTCATGCAGCAGGAAGGATCCTGAGGCAGGGTGTGAATAAGGCCAGGAGAGTCACAGGCCGTCAGCGGGAACCCCCTGGGCTGTGGAGGCAGGACAAGGTCAGGCAGAGCTCCATGGGGGGAGGTGGCATTTGAACTGTGGCCTGAAGAACAGTTAGGATTTCAGGGAGATAAGGAGTAAAGGTCAGGGAGAGCGAGTCCGAGATATTCCACACAAAAGGACCTACCTGGAGGATGGGGGCTAGAAAGCCTAATGTGCATTCTGGAAGGTGGCCTCCAGTGTAAGTGCTCAGGGATCAAGGTTATGGGGGAGCTGGCTGAAGGCTGGTGCCCGTAGTCAGCCCTTCCGTGTGTCCCTAGGGTCAGCACACCTTAACTGAAACCGACTGCTTCCCCAGCTGCTCCCTCCTGAGCATGGCCCTTGGGGGTCAGGCCAGGGGGTGCGCCCCCCCGCCCCCTCGGCATCTTCCACCCCATCTGCTCAGCTCTCTCATCCCACAGAAGTGTTCACTTGCAGTCCACGGACTTCCTGTCCTGCCCAGCTCGTGCTGCATCCTAGGAAACTGGAGCATCTGTGCAGACAGGCATCCAGACCTGATGTGTGGCCTCTGGGCCGTTACGCAGGCTTCAGTAGAGGAATGTGTTTTGGGAAACTAGGACTGAGAGGCAAGAAAGATGTAGAGAGCCATGGGCAGCCTCCGCAAGGCCCAGGGAGGCCTGGCCCCTGTTTCTGGTCTGATCCCACTGGGCCTTGGCAATGTGCCTGCCCCATGGGGGCGCTGGGAGGTGTTGCAGTGATGTGCCTTCCTACAGACGGCTTTCTGACAGGATGCTGGGGTCCTCCCTTTCTGTCCCCAGACTGTCTCTTGGTTACTGGTAACCCTGGGGCTGCCTGCCATGTTCTCACTGCAGCCCCACCACGTTGGCTGCCTTCCGCCTCCACTCCAGCTCTGGTCGCTGCGGCGTCAGCCCTTCCCCTCCGCACTGAATTCCCATGTGCTGTCTCCTTTTCCTGGCCCTTCTCTGGTTTGCATTGGCTCTGGTTCTGAACCCTGGTCTTGTGAATCTAAAAAGAATCTTAAAAGTTGGATGGGGTCTACGTTCACTTTACTCTTGACCAAGGTAGTGAAAATCTCTCATGGGGCGCCTGGCTGGCTTAGTCAGTGAAGCATCTGCCTTCAGCTCAGATCATGATCTCAGGATCCTGGGATTGAGCCCCACATCGGGCTCCCTGCTCAGCAGGGAGTCTGTTTCTCCCTCTGCCCCTCCCCACCTCTCTCTCTCTCAAATAAAATCTTTTTTTAAAAATTTTTTTAAAAAGAAAAAAGAAAATCAGTAACCATTAGGGTTGCCAGTGCTTTTCAGGTATGGAAACGTTGATGTCGGAGAAATGACCTTCCCGCACCCCCAAACTGTCTTCTGGTGCATCCTTTCTTTGCTGACTGCAAGGTGCTGGTTTTTACTGTCACCAGGAGGTCTGTTCAGGTGCTAGGAATCTGTGGAAATACTTCTTTACCATCTTGGCTTCCAGAAGATTCTGAGTAAGTAAAACTGCCAGAAGACCCAGATTTTGTGAAGAACTTGAGAAGTATCCATAGGAACGGTCATTTGTTTAAAAGAAAAAAACTCTTCAGGGCAGGAAGTCACGTCTGTATCATCTTGAGGACGTCAGTTACAAAGGGCAGGGTGGGGGTTTTCTGGAGCCACCAGTGTCCCGTTCTGGGCAGATGGTGATTGAGTGTGGAACTTGGGTTTCTGGACATCAGCACACATGCTCTCACCAGAGGGCCTGCTTCACAAACTCTCTCTCCGCTGTGCCGTCCCCCAACAGTGCAGCAGCGAGGGCCCACTCCCTGAGACATGTGGCGCCTCCTGAAGGCCCACTGCCGCATCTGTCGCTCGCCTTTTCTGCCCTGAGCAGTACCCAGCAGCTGCCACGGAGACTGTGGGCTGAAAGACCGGTCTAACGGGCACATGGGAAGGGAAAGAGTAAAGGAGAGATGGTGGAGCGGGGCAAAGGGAAGAGAATCACCCGGAGAGAAGCAGACAGAGTCCACGGGCTCGGCTTGCTTGGCACAACACACTGTGTGTCTTCTGCTGGAAAAAAATAAGCCCCTGCCTCCCTCGCCTCTGTTCCTTACTTCTTCCTGAGGTCACCTTATCTTTATGGCTTCCTGACCTGCTTAGAGCTCACTCACTCTGAGAGATGAGAGCAGGGGAGTGTCCACGGACAGCACTTGCAGCCCAGGGATGGGGAGTATTTCTCCAAGCTCCATCTCTCCTGGGGGTGCTTTGTTCCATTGGCCTGTCAGACGTGCCAGGGGTTTCCTTCGGAGTGGCCCGGCACTGTCGGCCCAGGGAGAGTGAGGGCCGTGCTGC